TAACACTTGGTAGACGAAGTGGATGAAACACAGCGAAGTATCGTTCAATGCCTATTACTAAGTAATTCATTACTGTGGCTATCAGAAATTACATGTTGTTGAATCTAACGACTTTGCAAGCTAAGTCAGTCTTGATAAAATCCACGAACATCTCAGTTGTAAACACAGGCACACTAACCGAAGAACTCAAGATGTCAGAGAGAGATAGACTTTGAATGAAACGATCGATCAAGAAGCTGCGGTTGAATGCCGTTTTCTTGGATGGCTTTCTTTGCGTAAAATAAAAGATCAACAAGTTCGCTATTAGTCCAAACACCGCAGTAGTTGCATATGAACATGCAATAACAACTTTGACGGTGTAGTCCACCGGGGCGAATACGTACGTCGACGAAGCGTTTAAAGTTGAGCTGGTGTTGCTGATGTTCATGCTTAAGAGCACACTTTTAAACCTGTAGGTTATTTAAATTTTATTTAAATTAAAAGGGTGTAAACTTCTAAACACTCCCCTATATTTGCTGTACGGGTATGTGCCGCTCGATAGGTTCGCTTTTTCGGAGCTCCAAGTCTGGGATAGGATTGGTATCATGTTTTGCCCATTTGTCTGGGAAAGGATAGTCTTTGTCTGGGATAAGGTAGTTTTTAGGATTTTGTAATTTAGACATAACAATGTGAAAAACAGCATTACAAGAAGGTAAATTACTTATCTCCAAACACCCTTTTATGATATCTATGTATATATAGAGGATATTACGTGGTCGCGCGCGGATACGAATTTTATCTTCGAGTGTTCAATCAATATCAATTGAACACGAGAAGATAAAATTAGTATTTTAAAGCCCCGGTCATGTAATGTTTTATCAACGCGTATATTTTTATTTTTTTCCAAGTCAGAAGTTTGGCATCGGGATCTCCCGAATGACCTCCGATACGAAGGGTGTTTACCATTTACACAAAATTTCCGGAAATTTTCGGATCAGTGATCAAAAGTTTCGGGTCAGTGAACATGACGTATTAGAACTTTCCAAATATGGCTTGCAATTGGATTAGAGTGTGTTTTGTAGTAATTGGCGCATTTTCATGCAGCTCAAAAGACGTGAATAAAACGAAATGGAGGTTAACTTGCTTAGCAGTTAATGTTGGTTGAATCTGCTACCTGATGAAATTGAAAATTCATTTTTGACAACAGCAAACAAGAATTAATCCTTATGGAATCGGTTTTTATGCAACGTGCATTGCCAAGAAACGAAGATTTTTTTTTAAGTTGTCATCCAAAATATTGCATCATCTTCGAAAGCCACTTTAGGATGACAAGAAGAACTTTCGAGTTGCTAGCACAAAGCATCGCCCAAACAGGCCCAAAATGCCCACAGCTAATAGGTTTGAAAAAGCACAATGATACCTTGGAAAACAAGTCCGAATTTTTCTCTGATTTCTGGCCAACAACGAGGTTATAAGATCGGTATCGGACCGTTTTACTTTTTTTTGCAAAGCTCGAAATATCTTCACTTTCTTTTTCCAATATTTTCCCCTASTTCAGTAAAAGCAATTTCAAACTTTGATTAATCCTCGAAGAATGCGTRCGCGCTGACGTGCCGTTGCTCACAGTACTGTTATTACTAGTTATTTGGCGATTTAAAAAATATTTCCATACATTTTCAGGAATTCTTTTTGAAGTTTTTGCACATAGATTGAAACTATTGATTGAGCTGGAAGAATCTCTCTTTATTGTAATTCTCTTAGGATTGCTCTCGATATTTTTGACTTAACTGTCGTGCCTTTACAGCTGCTCTCTCGACCAACTTTCTTAATCATGAACGGGAGGAAAGGGAGTACTCTTTGACCAGCACCAAAGTTTACCGGAAATTCACGTTGAATATTTGGAATGGGATGCGTTCCAATAAGCTTCAAAACGGAAATCCCGATAATTTGTTATGCAAATAAATCGGGAAAAGTTGTTCCATTTACAATTGTGGTCATTGAACCGAAAATTTCCGGAAATTTTGTGTAAATGGTAAACACCCGAAATATCACATTACGAACTACTGTAAACTATCGTAATATCATAGTAGAGTTACTGCCCGTGAGTTACTGTAGCTTGTATAGTAATTCTTTGAGATTCTAGCCATTTTGTTATTTTTGAACATTCATCTGTGTAAGAGCATATATAAGGACATTGGTTTAGGTCATAAAGCCTTGGTGCATCGAGACAAATAGTCCATTTTCCTTTAATTGGCGAGATATAAACCGATAGTTTGTAGCTGAAAAAAGCCCAAATGCGCAACGTGGCTTTCTGATTTTGCTTTGAATAGCATAAATTTTCTGTCTATTCTAGATTACATGTAAAGAAAACAATGATTCAAGCAGGAGTCTTCCTCGATGAAGATTGAAGCGATCATGATTTTATAGAGCGAGATAACCTTCTTGTTGAGATCCCTGACATTCACGGCGCCAACCGATCACCGACACTATCCATATTTTTACTATTTGTTTCACACGAAAGACTATCAGAGTGAACGATTTGAGTCGTGCGTGATTTTTACCGTGTTTACGCTTTAAGAGATTTGTCAAAAAATTATTGTATATCTAGTTCCTTCAAAAGCTGCTAAATGATTGCATGAAATGTAATCAACGAGGAGTTACTTTCACAAATTTTACACTTAATATATTTCAAATCACTTAATCATTAACCAGTTCCTTTTTTTGTCAACTCGTGCTAGCTATTTTTGAAAATTGAGAAAGACCGGATATTACATTGTTAGCGTATAGGGAAACCGTAGAG